TCCAATGAAAAACCTTGGTGAAGCTGCTTATATATTGGGCATTAAGATCTATAGAGATAGATCAAGACGCTTAATTGGACTTTCACAAAGCACATACCTTGATAAAGTTTTGAAGAAGTTCAAAATGGATCAAGCAAAGAAAGGGTTCTTGCCTGTGTTACAAGGTGTGAAGTTGAGTCAGACTCAATGCCCGACAACTGCAGAAGATAGAGAGAAAATTAAAGCCATTCCCTATGCTTCAGCCATAGGTTCTAGCATGTATGCAATGTTGTGTACCAGACCTGATGTGTGCCTTCCTATTAGTTTAGCAGGGAGGTACCAAAGTAATCCAGGAGTGGATCACTGGACAGCGGTCAAGAACATCCTGAAATACCTGAAAAGGACTAAGGATATGTTTCTCGTTTATGGAGGTGACAAAGAGCTCGTCGTAAATGGTTACGTCGATGCAAGCTTTGTCACTGATCCGGATGACTCTAAGTCACAAACCAGATATGTATTTTTATTGAATGGTGGAGCTGTTAGTTGGTGCAGTTCCAAGAAGAGCGTCGTGGCGGGATCTACGTGTGAAGCGGAGTACATAGTTGCTTCGGAAGCAGCAAATGAAGGAGTCTGGATGAAGGAGTGCATATCCGATCTAGGTGTCATACCTAGTGCATCGGGTCCAATGAAAAATCTTTTCTGACAATACTGGTGCAATTGCCTTGGCAAAGGAATCCAGATTTCACAATAGAACCAAGCACATCAAGAGACGCTTCAATTCCATCTGCGATCAAGTCAAGGAGGGAGACATAGATATTTGCAAGATACATATGGATCTGAATGTTGTAGGCCCATTGACTAAGCCTCTCTCACGAGCAAAACATGATCAGCACCAAGACTCCATGGGTGTTAGAATCATTACAATGTAATCTAGATTATTGACTCTAGTGCAAGTGGGAGACTAAAGGAAATATGACCTAGAGGCAATAATAGAGTTGTTATTTATATTTCCTTATATCATGATAAATGTTTATTATTCATGCTAGAATTGTATTAACCGGAAACTTAGTACATGTGTGAATACATAGACAAATAGATTGTCACTAGTATGCCTCTACTTGACTAGCTCGTTAATCAAAGATGGTTAAGTTTCCTAGCCATGGACAAAGAGTTGTCATTTGATGAACGGGATAACATCATTAGAGAATGATGTGATTGACTTGACCCATCCCTTAGCTTAGCACTTTGATCGTTTAGTTTACTGCTATTGCTTTCTCCATAACTTATACATGTTCCTATGACTATGAGATTATGCAACTCCCGAATACCGGAGGAACACTTAGTGTGCTATCAAACATCACAACATAACTCGGTGACTATAAAGATGCTCTACAGGTGTCTCCGATGGTGTTTGTTGAGTTGGCATAGATCGAGATTAGGATTTGTCACTCCGTGTATCGAAGAGGTATCTTTGGGCCCTCTCGGTAATGCACATCACTATAAGCCTTGCAAGCAATGTGACTAATGAGTTAGTTACGGGATGTTGCATTACGCAACGAGTAAAGATACTTGCCGGTAACGAGATTGAACTGGGTATTGAGATACCGACGATCGAATCTCGGGCAAGTAACATACCGATGATAAAGGGAACAACGTATGTTGTTATGCGGTTTGACCGATAAAGATCTTCGTAGAATATGTAGGAACCAATATGAGCATCCAGGTTCCGCTATTGGTTATTGACCGGAGATGAGTCTCGGTCATGTCTACATAGTTCTCGAACCCGTACGGTCCACACGCTTAACGTTCGGTGATGATCGATGTTATGAGTTTATGTGTTTTGATGTACCGAAGGTATTTCAGAGTCCCAAATATGATCACGGACATGACGAGGAGTCTCGAAATGGTCGAGACATAAAGATCGATATATTGGGAGGCTATGTTTGGACATCGGAATGGTTTTGGGTAAGTTCGGGCATTTACCGGAGTACCGGGGGGTTACCGGAACCCCCCGGGGAGTGTATGGGCCTTAATGGGCCTTAGTGGGAGAGAGGAGGAGGCGGCCAAGGTTGGGGCGCCCCCCCCCCACCCCCCAAGCCCAATCCGAATTGGGGTGGGGGCCGACCCCCCTTTCCTTCTCCCTCTCTCCCCCTTCCTTCTCTTCTACTCCAACAAGGGAAAGGGGGAATCCTACTCCCACCGGGAGTAGGACTCCCCCCTTGAGGTGCGCCATAGAGGGCCGGCCCTCCCCCTCCTCCATTCCTTTATATACGGGGGAGGGGGCACCCCATAGACACACAAGTTGATTGTTTAGCCATGTGCGGTGCCCCCTCCACAGAATTCCACCTCGGTCATATTGTTGTAGTGCTTATGCGAAGCCCTGCGTCGGTAACTTCATCATCACCGTCATCACGCCATCGTGCTGACGAAACTCTCCCTTGACCTCAGCTGGATCTAGAGTTCGTGGGACGTCACCGAGCTGGACATGTGCAGATCACGGAGGTGACGTACCTTCGGTGCTAGGATCGGTCGGATCGTGAAGACGTACGACTACATCAACCGCGTTGTCATAACGCTTCCGCTTACGGTCTACGAGGGTACGTAGACCACTCTATCCCCTCTCGTTGCTATGCATCACCTAGATGGATCTTGCGTGTGCGTAGGAAATTTTTTGAAATTACTGCGTTCCCCATCAAATCATACAGGTGAAGAACTCCAACATAAATAGTATATAAAAGTGAAGCAAATGAAAGTTTCTTTTAAGTAAATTCTATGAAAAATATTAGCTATTTATTAGGATTAATAGACTAAATATCCAGACGTTGAGGAAAACAAGTGAAAAAAGAAAGAGTGAATGGACAAAATCAAAAGAAGGGTTTATTGCAAGCAATGTCGACACTACTTTCGACTATGAGTTGTGCACATGCGGTATTGGAGTGGTGGCTCAAGATGAGATGGGCAGGTTCAAGGTAGATTGCAATGAAGAAGTTACTTATGTCATTGACGCGTTGGGACAATAGAAGCTCCAGCCATACGACATGGACTAGCTTTGCCAAATAAATTGGGGTTTAACAATCCAGTCAAGTTGCTTCCAAGCAACAAAGACTCTCCAAGGGGAGGAGTGTCCACAACGGTCGCTCCTTATTTTGGGGGAGGTCTCCGATTAACGTTGGTGTGACAGTTGTTTTGCTACAGTTTTTGTAAAGATAGATTGGAGTAAGTGTTGGGTGTATATCTTGCTGATTTTGACCCGTCTGCTAGATTTTTTATTGCCACCGAAACCGATGCTTCAGGAAGTCACACAAGCTGCTTGATCCAACCATGACATATCAACAAAGGAGCCTCATCGAGAGCGTAATACATAAGACGAGCTAGTGAGGTATAATGAGACTTGAAACCCCACATGCCTGGGAGGGCCCCGTTAATGAGTGCAGCGACAATGTGCTCCCCTAGGTTGGCTTGGCCACCCATAGAGCCTTATAATTCACTACAGTCGATTATGATGAACAACAAAGTATAAGAAGCAAGAAACTAGGGTAAATGATAAATAATACTCACAAAGTAGTAATGGATGTGTTTGATCGATTGTGTGTTGTTCAATCGTCTGTAATCCCTCCTATATTTATGGGAAAACTGAAATTTTTTGTGCAAGAAAAGGTTTTAGAATCCTATCTCGGCCCTTAGATCTTGCATGATTCAGACGAGTGCACCCAGAGCCTATGAATCCCTCTGGATGGGCTCTGGGCCAAGTCAACATGTTTCTATATTGGCTAGGAGGGCGTCCGAAACCATTTCGTTTGGTCTTGAAAATGGTTGCACATATCTAGGTTGGTCCGAAGAGCGTAGATGGTTTCACACTTTTAGATTGCCCCGAATGGCGTCATGAGTTTCTAGGTGAACTCATGGCGAGCTATCATCTTGTCCTAATTCACTAGAGGGCGCCCGGAGCCTCCACACGAGATCCAGGCAAGGTGTTGTCAACAAATTGTTTAGGTACCAATTATCAAGTTGTATCTGTTAGTTGATCAAATATATATAAATGCAACTTGATTTAAAAGAAAAGGTTGATCTCTAACTAATTAATTTGTGTCTTTAGTTTGTAATGTCTAGTATGTCCTTGTTTCCATTATGTTTTGCTTCCTTGACGACATCAACAAGGTGGCGATGATGATGCGCTAGAATAAGGTCCCTCCGGCCTGTCACTACCTCAACTATGTCGATCCGGCGCTGACGAATGGCTAGGTCATTTTTTCCATTAGGTGTTGCTTCATTGACGATATCGGGAAGGTGGTGTTGACAATGATATGTTGGAATAAGGTCTCTCCAACCTCTCCCTACCTCGATGGTGTTCAATCCGAAGCTAATGAATGGCTTGTGAGTGTAGGGGCTACCAGATCTGTTAGCCCTTTTTGGATCTTGGCAGTTGGTGTATCAATCAAGAGAAGTAACTGTCTGGCATTTGGTGTGGCGACTTCGGCCTTTTTTCTATTTGCTTTGCGGCATAGTCGGGTTTCTCCAACCCTTGAACCGATGGTGAAGAATCACAAATTTGCGTTGCATGGGAGATCCCTAGCCGACGTTCATTAATCTGTTGTTAGAGATCTTGTTTCTAGTAGTGGATGGCTATTGCGTTATCTAAAGTCTTGTATGAGCGTTTACAGGCGCCTCTTTTCATTACTGTCAGTTTAATACAATTTTCAAGCTTCAATGGACGATGCACAATCGAGCGAGAAAAAATCGATTGGTATGGTTTCCATTGTAATTTTATTTGTTGGTGATCATTTGATGCTTTGTTGTCTTTTCATTTTCATTATGTATTAGTAGCTTTTTGTTTTCAATAACTATATACTCCAGTTATATGTGCTTAACCATTTTGCCCATGTGCACCCGAACTCAAAATAAGTTCCGGCCGCACCAATCCCTTCACACGAGTCACAACTCACAACGAGCCACAAGTTCCGACCTCTCTCCGATCCCCGCCGGCGCCGCTCCCAGCCCCGGCCCGGAATCCTGCCGGCGGTATGCCGCGCGGCCGCGACAAGCCGGCCACCGTACGCGTCTACACAGTATGCGACGAGTCCAAGTACCATTTCCCAGCCCTACCCCGGCATCTCCTCCTCCGCAGCACTGCCGCTAATCCAATCCTTCTCCCTCCCCGCTCGCCGCGGATCCCAAACCAACCGCAGGTACCTCATCGTCCGGAACGTGCCTTCGCTCGGGTGCGGCGACGAGCTCGGCACCCTATTCTCGTCGTACGGGCCGCTGGAAGAGTGAGCCATCCTTCAGCGACCTGAAAATTCACTTATTCTAACGTTTTGCGTTCAGTACCTTCCTTCCGAGTTTCGCTCTCACCATTTTGATATTCCTTTGTGAGTGATGTGTTTTTGTTTTGGTTCAGGTGCAAGGCCATGGATGCCGAGGACTGCGAGGAGTACACCGACGTCTTCTTCATCAAGTTCTCGCAGGTCAGCAACGCGAGGTGACTATTTCTGAATATGTACTGAAAACTGAAGGATGTAAGTAGCATGTTGAATTTGTTGTACTGTCAGTGTTTCGTGCTTATGCAATTGAGTGAAAAAAACAGAGGCTTATTATTCAGCATAATTAATGGAATGAACTGAGGAAAGGTGACTTGGGTAGGCATTCCAGAAGCAAAATTTAATAAGATACTGGTATACTTTGATGCCAGTATGTGTGCCTTTACTTGTGAATTGGGATTACCAAGATGTTAATCAAAGGAAGGGTTTGATTATTCCTTGGACCTTCTTTGAGGGCATGATTTTTAGTTCAGGTATTCTGCTTCAGTCTTTGGCACTTAGGGTAGCAAATCTGGAGCCAATAGTTTTAACAACCACCTGTTTCCTATCTTTTCTTTCATCAAAATTCATACTTCCTAATACCTAATACTTCTTTAAGTGAGGAATTGGCGCTGTAATTTACTCATTTTGCAGGTTCGCAAAAAGGAAGTTAGATGAGTCTGTATTTCTTGGCAACCGGCTGCAGGTGTCATATGCACCTCAATTTGAGAGTATTTTGGATACCAAGGAGAAACTGGAAGTCCGGAGAAAGGAAGTCCTCGGCCGAATAAGATGTATGCCATTTTTTACAAAGATATATCTTCGTCTTAGAATTTATTATTGTGATGACAGTATTTATTCCTTGGTTCTTCAATTGTTTGATTTATATATTTGCTTGCTTCAGCCTCTGTTGGAAGCAGATCAGAACGGTTAACTCAGTATTCTCCAGGGCAGGGATCTTCTAGTGGGAACTTGCATCATCATATGAGCCCCAATAAGAGGTTATTATTTCACATGTTGTCATTTGTTTCCGCTCTTTATTTAGTTCTGCGGTGTACAAATGATAATTAAAAGTTGGTCATAATTTGCTTGTCATATGATATTACATGCAGTTACTTCTTCCATCAAGTTTTTCTGGTCATGCTTTCCCTGAGCTTCTATGCATTTTCTTCTAGAACAATCAATGTGAATATTCAGACCTAGCAGTATCATCCAAACTCGAGATATGGATTCTTTTTTCTAGGGAATAGATCATATACAATCTTATTTTGTCTGAGGATTTGTACTACATCGCTTATACCTAATAAAAGGCTAGAGGTCCAGAAGAATACAGTGTGACTGTTCTCCGAGAAAAAGGTGAACACTTAGGTGACTGCTCGTCTAAAGACTCATCTTATCATCTTCAGGGAATACACAAAGACACTTCATGCTTCTCATATCGAAGATGTTCGTTTCAGTCATGTGTCCTCTAATAAGGTATGTAGTAGTAATACAATTTTCAGGCTGAAAACCAAGTTGTCCATTGATGGAAATTGGGCCATTTAGTAAGCAGACTAGATCGTGCTTTAAGGGAATTTTATTTTTAGAAAAGCTAGGGAGAAGCTCTGGTCAACTAAGATGCATTACTGCTAGAAAGACAGCATTAGTGCGCTTGCTCATGTGAAGTACTCGGCGAGGGCAAAATCCGTAGTAGTTGGAATTGTGGATATCCTGCTGTGTGCAATCTAGCTCAGCTCATTAGTGCGGCACATCATCCATTAGGATTTTCCAACAAACCCCTTTTTACCTTTTCATGGCTTGTGATTTTCTTTCCTTTCATGAAATGCCTTTTGATCAATTTGTGGTGGACTTGCCTTTTGATCGCAGGACTATTTTCCATCCGAGTCGATGATTGCAACTGTAAATCTTGTGAGGCAGAAGCTTGATAAGGTAAAAGTATATATGTGTTACTGTTATGTGTTATCTATCGCCTAACATGCCACATGGATAAGCTAAGAGTTTTATTTTTTTTTTCAAAATAACAGATACAGTCCGGCAGTGATGGTTCCAATGCTGTAGCTGCGTCCAAGAAACCAAAGGGTCGATGACCGTAGGCGCATTTGAATCACTGGATGGCGTGGAGCACGCGTTAGGAATTATGTGGCTTACTCCACTTTGTAGCCTTCCCTTTGTGCATCGTCCTACTTGATTCTTAGAAGTTAGAACTGGCCAGCTGAGATTGTTGTACCAGTCTTTTCTCTTTATGCAAATGCCAATTTTCTTACCTGATACAACTTTGAACTTTCGCACCTGATACTTGGTCTTTGTAAAAAAGAAAGAAAAGGCCACTGAAAAATAACGAAGCGACGATGATGTTTCTCGAGGAAATACTCACAAAGCAGAAGCATGTTCTTTTTATCGCTGGAGGCATGCTAAACCAAATTAATATTTGTCATTCAGTTTCATCCTGGATTAGAAACAACAAAATTACAAAAATGGTTTTCTCTAGAATGGAAAAGAACAGAGAGGGGCTCAGCGCTCACGTGCTCCCAGGGGACGGCTCAGGCGAAACCCTACCGCTGCCCCTGCACCTCCTCCTATCCAGCCACCCGCCGTTGACGGAGGAAGGTGCCGGGCAAAGCCCTACGTGGTGGACGGCGGCCGGTGGGTCCTCACCACGGCAGGCGCGGATGGCGGAGACGGAAGGTCGAGCATGGTTGACTAGGTGGTGGCACACGAGGGATTCGGGCCCTTATGCCCGGATCTGATGGTCGCAGCGGCGGTTGTCGTTGTATGGGCGACGACATCAGTTGGAGCGGTGTTGGGTGCTCCTTGTAGCGTCCAGAATCAAGGTGGTGGCCCCTCTTCTTCGACGATGGAGGGCTTCGGAGTCGTGTAGGTGACTCAGATGTTGGATCTCGAGCTGGTGACGACCTTTATGAGGCCAGCGGCGGTATGGGACGTCCACTCCATCAACAGATCAGTTTTGATGGGGCTCGGGAGGTGACACACGGAGACATTGAGCAATGCCTGTCGCCGACCAATGAAGCCTCCGATGGATGCACCGTCGTTGGATGCTACACATGACGTCTCATGCGGAGGCGTCAATCATGCCTGCTACCAGCAGGTGCTGCACGGTGTCTCTAGCGGAGGTGTCATGTTTACTCTGTTGCTGCTCGATCGAAAGTGGTGCGACAATGGCGGGAGGCAAGCCGTATGGGACATCTATTTTTTGGTGCCATCTCCAGAGGTATCCGGTTATTGAGGAGTCGGTAGCCGGTTAAGGGATGATGGTACAAATGACTTCAAGGATGACTTTATGCACTTTGGCGGAAACACAAGATCTCTGATCAAGCTGTGTCAACGCACGCATGCGTCGTGTCCTTACTGAAAGTGGTGGACTGATGCTTGGCTTTGGGGATGAGAATGCGCAGTTGGACCTTGTTTTGGACTCGTCACCATAGGCGTATGTGCGGTGATTCCTTCTTGAAGGTATAGCCTAGAAGTTGTGTATTTCTTGTTTTGATTTCGTCTTGTATCATAGGGTTAGTGGCTATCTGATGGAGTTACTGTCGCGAGGCATGCAACCTCGGGTTTTCTTTTCATTTTATTTTTGGGTCGACAACTCCGCCTATGTTGTCTCAATATAGTTGGTCCCAAGCCCGGGTAAAGGAGGAGGGTTGTGATAGGCTTGGCGTCCCAACGTAAAAACTCAACCACTCTTATGGAGATGAAACCCTAAGCCTACCGCAACTTGTTTGGGACTAAAGGCTTTGTTGTTGTTGTTGTTGTTGTTGTTGTTGTTGTTGTTGTTGTTGTTGTTGTTGTTGTTGTTGTTGTTGTTGTTGTTGTTTTTGGGTCGACATTGTTCAGCTGATGGATTTACATGCTTAATAATATATATGGTTGTGTGCATCGGTTGATGTAGAGGTCGGGGGTTATCCTCCTTTAAAAAAACATTCATGACCTGGGACGAACTAAGCCCAGCTTACATGGTTAGGTTTCTTGATGTGGCGAACCAACCTGTGGTTGGATGGTTAGGAAAACAGTGATATCCCTAGCCCAACAGGTTCAAGTCTTAGACTTGATGTTGGTGCTTGCATTATTCCTGGATTTATTCCAAACTTCCGGATATGTCCGTTCAGTGGGAGGAGACGTTCCCATCGACTGCGATGCGTCTGTGATGATTTAATAAAATTTCAAGATACTATGTCGTCTCATTCTCTTGGAGGTGTTCATAGGGATAGGGTGTGAGTGTGTGCATTCATAGAGGTGAGTGTATGCTCACATATGTGAGCGACTTCGATTGTACTATGTAAAAAAAGTGTTTTTATGTGGAACCAACCCATTTAGGTTCAGGTCCTAGACTTTATACTCACATATTTTCTGAATTATTTCGGCTTCTCCCCCGCTATTCTTTCAATGGTACAATGTGCATGTCAATTAAGGATGGAGATTGATAACAAAACCAGAATCACTATGTTCACGTGTAATGGCTGGGAAATACTATCATGGTACAGATTTCCTGAATGCCAAAAAGAAAAAAGGCAGCTCGCATGTTTGGCAAGCAATTTTGAAGGGTAGAACAGTACTACAGCTGGGATTAATCAAAAGAATAGGAGATGGTCTATCCACCAACATATGGAAGGATCGGTGGATACCAAGGATTCCATGAGGCAAGCCAATATTTAAGAGCGAAAAAGTAACTGTGGAGAAAGTTTCAGAGCTCATTAATGATGATGGAAAAAGTTGGAACATTCAAAAATTGAATAGTAATCTATCTCCTATGGAGGTAAATGAAATCCTTAAGATTCCTTTGGGAAGGTTAGACCAAGACCTATGGGCTTGGGGTGAAGAAAGACATGGCATCTACACTGTAAAATCAGCCTACAGAGCTTTAGCAAAGCAGTTTAGGGCTGAAAGTCAACATCATGAAGGAGTTGCACAAAGTTCAACTATTGAAGAGAATAAGTTATGGAAGAAACTTTGGAACTTGTCAATTCCCCCCAAGGTAAAAACTTTCTGGTGGCGTGTTATTAAAGGCTTCATGCCTGTAAAGGCTATATTGAAAAAAAGACACATCGAAAAATTAAGTAACTGTGTTGAATGTGGTGTAAATGAAGATACTATCTTCCATGCTTTGATAGAATGTTCTTATGCCCGAGTTTTCTGGAATTTGTTTAAAAAACTTTATGGCATTAAGCTTCCCAAACTACATCACCTAACTTGGGCCCAAGACATTCTAGATGATGAAGTATGTGCAACGGAAAAGGCAGGATATATTTTGTGTGGCATGTGGTCAGTGTGGACATCACGAAATAATAGAATTCATGGAGATTCCTCAACTAATCTAACTCAAGCTTGCAGGTGGGCGCATGACATGGCATCAGATCTGATGTTAAATGCAAAACCACAAGGAGAAGGAACCAAAACTAAGACCAAGACATACTGGCAACGTCCACAAGAAGGCTACTATAAAATTAATGTAGACGCAGCGTTCAATTCAAAGGATGAAAAAGGAGCTTCAGGGGTAATAATCAGAGACGCTGATGGCACTGTAGTAGCGGCGAGCAGTAAATGGTATGATTCAGTCCCTAATGTTTTAACAGCAGAAGCTTTAGCTTGTAGAGATGGAGCTAAGATGATGAAGATTCTCAATATTCGGCAAGGAACAATGAAGACTGATTCTCAGGAGCTTGTGTCCTTTTGGAGATCCAGAAAACATCATAGAGCTAGCATCTTGTCGATTATCAATGAAATACAAGAGCTGGTAGAAGGATGTAGTGGTTTTGATATTTACCATGTTAAGAGGGAGGCAAATATAGCAGCTCACAAAGTTGCCAAATTTGCTTCTGAATCAAATCCGGAGTGTGCCTGGATACACCAGGTGCCGGATAGCATCCTTCGGTGTACTAGACAAGATTGTAATCATGTTACTAGTTAATGATGAAGCTCTTGTTTGAATCGGAAAAAAAAATGCGTTGTTATGGCGACTTCGTCTATTCGAGGTTGTAAATTGGTTGTACGTGCGTCTTGAGCTTTTTTTTTCTTCTTTGAGGGGGGCGTGTGTGTTGAGCCAACAGGAAAAAATAATGCGCCAAGCAGCCGAGGCTAAGGCCCATGTCTCTCAATTTAGGCCCACTTCGTAGAAGAGAAGTCAATGGGCCGAACAGAGCGTGTCATCACCATCCGGCCCAGCCTTCGTCAGTATCCAGAGGCCCCCAGACCTAGCGTGCCGCCGTTTAGCTCCACCGCCGCCGCCCGCGAACCCCTCCCCCCGACGAGCGACGCACCCGCCGACATTCAGGCCGTCGCCTCAGTCCCACACACGCCTCCACCATCCAGTCGGCGACCGTCAACCCGCCAACCGCCACCCATGGCAGAGACCAGCGAGAACGAGTACCACACCGACGAAGAGGAAGACCTGGTCGGAGAGGAGGAAGGAGGCACCGGGAGCGAAGGCGAGGAGGTTGGAGTGACCGGCAAGAAGAGGAATCGGCCTCTAAAGAAGAAGAGCCTGGACGGCTTCAGCAAGCGCGGGGTGTGCTACCTCAGCCGCGTCCCTCCCCACATGAACCCGTCGCACGTCCGCCAGATCTTCTCCAAGTACGGCGAGGTGCAGAGGATCTACCTCGTCCCCGAAGGTAATCCCCCGTCATGAACCAAATCGGTGGCTGCGTTCTGTATGTTTGATTTGTGATACGGTACCAAAGCTAGGAACACACAGAGCTGAAAGCCCTACTTGTTTTACCAAAGCTAATGCAATGATGTTAGCTTCTAGTCTAGTCTATAGAAAACCAAAGAGAACAAACCATATTTATCTGATGTTGATGTCTCCCGCGTAATCCCGTGCAGAGTATTCTGCTGCAAATAACGCCTCTCAACCTGTGTAGCAAGGCTGTATTTCGGTAGTAGAAGGCTGTTCATGGAGTTCTAGGTTTGTTTGTCTTGCTTGTATTTGTGAAAACATTCTTCATTTCTTCTAGGGGAAAAATTGAAATAGAGCATGTCATCAAATGATAATCATGTTTTGCATGCTGATTGCACATGTTGCTGCGGCAGTATTTACCGTGCAGTGAAAGTGAGTTGTTTTTCCTGCCCCTCGTGG